CACCTGCACCCCTCACCACCACCACCACCACCCCTCACCCCCGGCCACCACTAATCTGTTTTCCATCTCTATAATTTTGTCATTTCAAGAATGTTATAGAATCATACATTACGTGGCCTTTTGAGATTGATTTTTTTTCACTCAGCATACGTGCCCTTCAGACTCATCCAAATTGTTATGTGTATCAATAGTTTGTTCCTTTTTATTGCTGTGTAGTATTCAATGGTATGAATGTACCACAATTTGTTTAACTATTAGCTTATGGAGGGACATTTTGGTTGTTTCTGTTTTTTCACTATCACAGATAAAGCTGCTTTGGACATTTGTATACAGGTTTGTATGGTCAGAAATTTTCATTTATCTGGGGTAAATGCCCAAGAGTGCAACTAATGGGTTGTATGGTAAATGGATGTTTAGTTTTTTAAGAAAATGACAGCATGTAATTGGATCATAGTTTTAATCCTCTCTGCCAGGTGGGCGGTAGAAATCCAGGTTTCCTATTTGGCCTTCGTTGATACTCCTGGGGGATGGGGAAGGGCACCATTACTGCTTGGGTTGTGGGAGTTCTGGTTCCCTACTGGGCCTCCACTGACTCTATTCTGCAGGGGAGGGGGAGGTGCCTCCTTACTGCTCCCTCGCTGAGCTCCACTGACACCATGGTGGTAGGGGCGGGTGCTCATTACCACTGGAAGGTGGTGGAAGTCCTGGCTTCCCACTTGGAGTTCTCTGACACCACCCTGATGCTGGGGCTTGGGGGACACCTCATTACAGCCATGTGCAAGGGAAAGTCGAGGCTTCCCACTTTGCCTTTGCTGATAGGAGTCGGGTGGAGCGGCAGTGTCTCCTGCGGTGTTTGGTTGGAGTAGGGTGTTTTTTTCTAGGCTACCCTTTTCTTGATCCTGTAGCTAGATATGGCCAGCTTTTCTTGGCATTTGTTTTTTCTTTTCTTTTTGTCTGGGCTGTTGGTGCTTCTAGATTGCTGGCTTCTCCAGCACCTACTCAGACAGACGAAGCAGAAAGCAAACCCAGACAAATCACTGCTCTGTCTTTCCTCAGATCTTGAGGTTCCTAGCTAATTTTCCTTCTTCTCTCCACTTTTTCAGAGTTTTCTTATGTTGCTGTATGTCTAATACCCAGGGTTTTTAGTACTTAGCAAAAAGAATAGTGAGAAGTGCATTTATTCCATTTTGGTCCAGTAGCAGAAGTCTGATACAGGGCCTTTAAAGGGCTGTTTCCCCTTCTAAGAAGGTAAATCTGATCATGTCTCAACCCTTCTTAAAAGCCTGCTTGTCACAATATCCAACTGTCCAAATGGTAAAATTCCAACCCCTTCACGTTGACTTTTAGGCTCTTCACTGTCTCACCACAAGTAATAACAGTCATATCTTCTACAACTCCTCACCATGCACATGTATTCTCCAGCTGTACAGAGTTTCTAATGCACCATTTCTTAAATAAACATGCTTTTTCCTGCCTTGTTTTGCACACGCCAGTGCACATGCACTTTGCTTGGTTCTACCTTTCTCTTCTCTACTTGGCATGCACTTAGCTGTACTTGACATCTGCTGCTTACATTACCTACTGTGAAGTCTTTCAAGACTCTCCCACAGTTATTTGATCCCTTCTCAGTGCCTCCATAGTAATATGAACATATCTCTATGAGCTATTTCTTGATTGACTTGATCTCTTCTACTATAGCTCTTTGAGGTGGAATTACGTCTCCATATGTCTCTGTCCCATTCAACTGTAAATTCTTTGGGGTTAGGGCTGTGTCTGTCTTATTCATCATTGTGTCCTCACACATAGCATTGTGCTTGGTACATAATTGACACAACATTTATCAAATGAATAAATGAATTGTTACTTTCAGATATTAGAGCAAGCAAAAATTGTCCTCAGCTTGTGTGACTACGCTAGCTGAGGCTGCCTCTCTTTTATCATTACCATATATTCCTTTTTGGTTTTCCACTGGAACAAAGCGACTTTGGGAGATTATAATAATTTAAGTACTTCCCCAGTCTGCTTCTCCCTTCCTGAGGACTGCCTGCTTTCAGTTTGTCCTCATATGTACCTGCTGTCACCACTGGTTGACCATTTGAGAGCAGGTCTTCCCTGTATATGGTTGATGGTGGTCTCCAAAGCCCATTCTTCAGGCCATTCTGAACTATCAGTCCAGACTGGAATAGACTGAAGGCCCTACTTATCACTACTTATATCAAGGCTAGGACTTTCTTTGCCAAGCCCTTCCAGAACATTGTCTTTTATTGAGAAACAAAATCCTTTTGGATACATGGTCATCTTGCTCATCTAACTTTTGACTATTGGCTGGAAGGAATTTAATAGCAACTCTTCTTAGTGAGATTTCAGCATCTGACATATTTGAGATAATAAGAGCTTCTCTCTCTCTTTTTTTTTTTTGGGGGGGAAGATTAGCCCTGAGCTAATATCTGCTGCCAATCCTCCTCTTTTTGCTGAGGAAGACTGGCCCTGAGCTAACATCCGTATCCATCTTCCTCTACTTTATATGTAGGATGCCTGCCACAGCATGGCTCGATAAGCGGTATGTAGGTCCGCACCTGGGATCCAAACCGGCAAACCCCAGGCCACTGATGCAGAACGTGCAAACTTAACTGCTGCGCCATTGGGCTGGCCCGAAGAGCTTCTCATTTTTAGGACACTTTTCAACCCATACACGCATCCTTGTCAACCCCAAATTATTCAACATGTGTTATCATGATGCTTACAACAACTCAGTGAATGAAGTTGTACATGCACACACATACACAGATACCCACATACATACACATTCACATACACACACACACACACACACACACACACACAGGATATTAAGGACTTTGCAGGTCAAACCCATTCTGTTATACTTACTGATACTTTTTAAGGACTCTGATCCTTTGAGCGCTATGTTTTGTTCTCATTTATAATAACCATTGGTTTCTATCAGTTGTAGTCAATAGCTGATCCTAATACTGTGTATAAGCTCATGCACATATAGTAATTGCTCCACTTACCAAACCTACTCAATATGGCGAGGTGCTTTTTATATGCATAATTTTTAATTCTTACAGCCACTCTGCAAGGTAGATGTTATCCACATTTACAAATGAGGGAACTAAGGTTCAGAGAAGTAGTAGCTCTGAGCCAGGATTGGCTCTGCGTCAAAGCTCCTGTTCTTTTCACTACACCACTTGGCCTCTCAATAAAATGGCCTAATTTGAAATCGAATCTTTAAAAGGTTGAATAATCTCTATTTTTCATAATATCCCAACTCCTACCCCATTAATCAAGGGTCTGGGTATTGATTCTATCACAGAAATATATGCTATTTTCTATTTGGTAAGACAGAAGTGGGAGGAAGGAGATATATTTAAAGAACAATGCTTGTGTGTGTGTGATGAAATTTTGGGGTTCTGTTACCTAATGGCTTATTCTCATGGCACTTGTTCTCATAGACTTTCTCAGGCATTCAGGTCCCTGGATCCCTTTGAAAAAACCAGGGAGGACACTTGTTGCTTTATCGAAAAGGGCCTAAGCAGATAACTGGCTACCCAAAAGCCCTGTGGATGGTCACTGAAACTTGCTAACAGTAGGAACAGATATTTGATGGGCAAAAAGGCCATTAACTGCCAGCTGTTGTCTTACAACTGTCTGGTACTAAACTGTAGTAAGTATTTTTGACAAATTATAGAGCTATCCACAGTAAGAAATGAGGATCTTTTCCTTTAGTCTCTGATTCAGTGCTCATCCCTGCCCTCCTTATTTCCTTCAGATACTACTGTCCACACCCTGCAGGGTTTGAGGAGATAGTGTGTAAGGGGTGCCAGACAACAGGAAGGTGAGTCAAGAGTGGAAAGCTTGTGTAGGTGAGTGAAAGAAATATCTGAGACATAACATCCCTCCCAAGCAGCAGGAAGCAAAGAGATTGTCTTGCTCACTCACAGGAGCAAGTAAGGAACATTGGTAGGAGTGTTCCAGCTGCCGTCCTGGACCCTGAACAGGGACATATGGCTGGAATTCACAGGAAGTAACTGGGATAAGGCAAAGACTGTCTTAGGACTGGCCCCGCTCTCAGCTACTTGCTGGCACTCCATGAACAATAGCCACACCACCGTGAGGGCGTGTCTCTAAGAGTTCCAGCCCCAGACAAACATGGTTCCCTGAGAGGCACAAACACAGTGCCTCCAGAGGGACATTTAAAATGAGCAGTAATGAGCCTTATTCCTTGGCTCCTCTCTGAAATGGAAAGATAGATGTTCCACACTATTGAAGTCTGGATAGCACCTTGGGGGCCCTGGAGATGGAGCCCTGGAGCCCTCCCGTTCTGGTGACGTCCACGTGCTCTTCCCATGTAGCGTGAAGTAACTTCAGCTGTTTCCTTGGCTCATTTGTATTCCAACTTTATCCTTCCCTTAAATCTCTTAGAAACAAGTAGCTGTCTTCCTAGGGATACCAGCTCATTATTGTAGTTTGTTTTCCATCCTTTAACCTGCCTTCTTTCAGGCTGAATGTCTGTTGGGTGTTACCGACCCCAGAGCTGGTCTCCCATACATTACGGGACAGCAGGTGTCTCCTGGGATTGTCCCAGGCAAACCAGGACGTACAGTCACCCTTCACAGATGGACAATGCCCACCTCAGTGACTTGTAAGAATGAAATGAATGTACACCTAGGCCTAGTTTGTAGTATAATTAAGGATTAAGTTAGCTGCTGTTAGCTACGCTCTTCCTTTGCTGTTTCACTTCTCTGTACCTTACATAATCTAGTATTGGCTCCTGCCTTCTATCCCTTTCTTCTTTCCTCTCTGTCCCTTTATCTCCTGTCCTCTACTTGTTGCTGTCTTCATTTCTGCCACTAGACCCCTGCCCTTGATGGTCTGGCGTCAACAGAGGGTTTTACAACTCTGCTTAGCCTCTTTTTGCTTGATTCCAGGGCTAGTAGCCGTCGAGCCCTTTATTCTGGGTCCTAACCTGTTTGGTGGAGTTGTTCCACTTCCCTGACTTTGCACTTAGGGCCTGGGCACTCGTAGGAATTAGGGGCAGGCTGGGGTTAAAGCTGAAACCCATCTGCACAGACATATTTTATGTTCTATTAACAACTTTATTCCCCAGGAGAATGTGTCCCTCTCCACCCCTCTTTAGTTCACCCTTGGGTTTATATCCAAAGATCTCACAATATCTTCTTTTTATGGGTAGAAACATACCCTGGCAATCTTCACGCAAGAGGCCTGAAGAGCACTATTAAGAGCCCAGAATTCTGTGCCCCAGACTGGCCCCTCACTGCTGCTTGGCTGCTTGCCTCCAGAAGGCAGAGCAGGAATGGCTGCAACACTCTTAACCCCCGGGAGTAAATGGGGAGGCGGGTCTCTCTGTGGAAGGCGAGCGGTAGGGTCCTGTCTGACCCCATACATCGTTTGGAATCCGAGCGGGACGGCAAGCCCCTGTCGGGGCCTGGGAGGTATGTTTGAGCCCAGTTGCAACTCCCTGAGAAACCTCCTGCGCTCCAAGGGGGCGCCTGCACTCACATCAGCGTAACGTGAGGGACCTCTGGGTGTCAGTTCTAGCCCTCCAGCGTGCCTCAGTTTCCCGGTCTGCGTCGGGGGCCACTACTTCTCAGGACCGAAAAGCGCAGCAGGAACAGCTTCGGGCAGACGGAACGACACCTAAAGCTGATACGACTGGGATCGCAGCTTTCGGTTCCTCTGCGGGAAGTGAGCCGGAACCAGCAGGGCAGAAGGAGGAGCCCCCAGAATCTCTGAGGGCCATCAGTCCGTAGCCGGGAGGCAAAGCACGACAAGACTCAGATGTCGGCGGACCTGTCCGGAGGATGGGCGGTCGGTTTGCGCTCGGCCCGACCCCGAGGGCGGTCAGGTGCAAGGGGGCGGGGGCTCCCCGCCTCGGGCTGCGGAGCCAGGGCGGGCCGGCCGGCGGGGCATTTAAACCACGCTGACTGCCCACTTGGGACACGCGCCCGGCTCTGCGCCCTCCTGCGTCCACCCTCTGCGCTGCGGGTCCCTGCTGGGCAAGATGCGATCTTCCTTGGCTCCGGGTGTCTGGTTCCTCCGCGCCTTCTCCAGGGACAGCTGGTGAGCAGGGCTGCAGGAGGGAGGCGCCGGCCGGGCCACCGAGGGGAAGGGAGTGCCGGGTGATGAGGGACAGCCGCCCTCGGGGCACTCGGCAGGACTGCCCTGCGCGCTTCGGGGATTCTGGCAGGGTCTGATCCCGGTCGCCTTCAGCAGCGCCAGCCAGAAACGTGGATGACACATCCTCCCTAACTCCGCGTTCCCCTCACCCCCATCCCGACCCCGGACTCCTCTGTGGGGGCCTGCTGGGGAGTCGCCATCGGTTCCGTTTGCCATCCTCACCTCCAAACACACATACGTCCAGGTGTAGACCTTCAGAACCCCTCACTTTCGCTTCATTGAGCACCTGGGGGAACCTGGACTTGCAGGCTAGGCAACCGAGGCGCGGGGGGTGGGGGGAGTTGTTGAAAAAGTGGCCATCGGACTTGTTGAGCGTCCCTTTTGGCCTCTTTTAGCCCTTGGATAACACACAGGCCAGAACTCAGTGGTCCTGGGAGCTTGTGGGGGAGAGGGGTGAGGCACCGGGAGGGAGTGTTTCCAGGCCCTGAGAGACCTGCCTGGGGAGAGCATAATCTCAGGTCAGAACTGCCGCTGCTCCTCATCTGGTGGTCACCTCAACACTGGATGAGCTTTCCTGCTGACCAAGGGAGGCCTGGGGAGGCTGCACCATATTGAGATGTGGTACTGTGGAGAGGTTTTAGCCCACTCTATCAGAGGCCACACACTGGAGCAGTTTGCTTGGTCTGCACAGCATTTTTTAAAAATATTGTGTTAGTTGCTGTCACTTACAAATCATAAAATTTGACATAAATGGCTAGAGTCCTGGCTTCTCTTGATAAAAGGCAGTGTAGCAATACCAGGCCTAAATTCCCAAATAATATTAATAGGAGTTGAGGAGTCCCTATTAGATAGGACAGGTGTTCTTAAGATGTCCAACTTATTCTAGTTTTAAAATGGGAAATCCTACTTCCGCACCATCTTCACTACCGGGCGAATCCAGATGGTTGGTCACCCTAGACACTTTCCAGTTGGTGACAGTCTTCATCACTTCCAGCTTTTTTCACTCATTTAGATTACTTCCTTGATCCTTTTTGAGTTTGGGACTGTTAGAAGATATTTTTCAGAAAAAGACAAAATCATGACTCTCATAAGGGATATAAAAATGAATATGTGTTGAAGATTTTGTTTTACTTATAATGAGGGAGCCAGAAGATGTTATATAATCGGTTCAAAAGAAAAGTCAGGGATGGGGGGGAATGGGGAGTTAGTGTTTAATGGGTAGAGAGTTTCACTTTGGGGTAATGAAAAAGTTCTGGAGATGGATGCTGGTGATGGTTGCACCACAGTGTGAATGTACTTAATGCCACTGAGCTGGACACGTGAAAATGGTTAAAATGGAGCCAGCCCTGATGGCCTAGTGGTTCAAGTTTGGTGCAATCATCTTTGGTGGCCTGGATTTGGTTCCTGGGCGTGGAACCACACGACTTGTCTGTCAGTAGCCATGCTGTGGCAGCTCACGTAGAAGAACCAGAAGGACCTACAACTGTACACAACTATGTCCTGGGGCTTTGGGTGAAATAAAGGAAGAAAAAAGGAGGAAGATTGGCAACAGATGTTAGCTTAGGGTGAATCTTCCAAAAAATAAAAAGGTTAAAATGGTAAATTTTATGTTATGTATATTTTACTACAATTGAAAAAAAAAAAAGAAAGAAAATCCAAAGAACATAGCCATTTATAAATTAGGAATATTGAGGCAAAATTGGTTTTTCCACAGGTTGGGAGGGAAGACTATTGAAACTCTATCAGTTCATACATGTATTTTGCATGACTTCTTGGTTACCTAGGACTTCAAGGAATTGAAAAATAACTCAAGGTCAATGAAGGACTCCAGTCAGCCAGCCTGGATGGGTGTTCTCTAGACAATGAAGTTTTCCAGTGAAACGCAATTTTTTTTTCCCTACAATCTTCCCTGCTTTGATCAAAAATAGTCTCTAAGAAAGATTATTCTTGATCACAAAATAAGGTTGGTCTCATTAGTTCTGATCTGATTGTTTATATAAGTGCAGGGAGAGTGTTAATTCACAATATAAGCCTTGTTAAGTTTGCTTTGCTGGAAATTTTCATAAGGAATCTTGATTGGACTTTTTAAGCCTATTATCATTTACTTTTCTGAGTTTAAGAAGCCAAGCCAACAGTCTTCACTAGGTTTTACCTACTGTACCTATAAATTTGGGCAAATTCCTCTCTTCTTGAGGTCCCCAAAATACCCTACAGTCCCTGGGCTTGCCAGGGCATGAGTTTCCTCATTCACCTGTAAGGGAACACAGTAAGCCCATTTTCTTTGGAGGGTTTTATTGGTATTGTCTCCATACGGTCAACCTTAGTTCCTTAAAAGGGGCCAGTTTTATCTGTTTAAATGAGCATCATTGTCAAATGCAATATTCCAGGCAAGGCCTTGGTTGCATAGTCAAATTTTCTAATTATGTCCTGGTAAAAAAAGAGGACAGATTCTTATTGAACTTTTGCAAATAATCATATTGCTGTGAAAAGCAAAAAGACTCAACAAGTTTCTCAATTCTCAGGGGTCAGGTAGGGAGAATAAGATATTTACAAATGTTTCATTTTGCTTTACAAAAACAGGCCTACTAAATTATTATAGGTTACAGATAAAGAGAAAAGGCTTCCTTCTATATCCAGAAAATAGAACACTGTAACAACATAAACAATATTCCAAACATCCCTTATCAGTTCATGTAGTCCCCTGTGGTTAATTCTTGTTCTGGTGAATCTTGGGTTAACAACCTCATAAACCTGTCCGCTTCTAGGCTAGAGAGTTCTGGAAATCCTGACTCAGTCCACTGGTATGTCTTTAAAAATGTCTAAGTGATGCCATCAGAAGCCTGTACCCAAGAGTAGGTGCCTGGTACAGTGCTTTTCTGAGACAGTTCTTGATTGTTAAAGATAAAACCTTTGGCCTACAGCTGATTGCAGAGCGTTAAGGAAGCATCAGAGAAAAACAGAAAGTATCTAAAGGTGACAGACCTAAAGAGGCATGGATTAATTTATTATGGATAATTTTCAAAAGTGAATGATCTGATGAGAATTCATGAGAAGAATAATGCAGCTGACAAGGAAATTGGTTGTTCTCGAACTGTGCAAAACAAAATAAATCCAATCCAAAAAAAAAAAAAAAAATCCAGACAATGTCTAAACATAATAAGACTAATTTCAAAGAAGATAGTGAACATTACATCTGATTTATAAAAATGGGTGAACATGTTTTTTTATTAAGATTATGATAGTTAACAACCTTGTGAAATTACAGTTGTACATCATTATTAGTCATGTTGTACGTATACCACTTCACCCCTAGCGCCCTACCCCCACACCCCCTTTCCCCTGGTAACCACCGATCAGTTCTCTTTGTCTATATGTTAACTACCACCTATGAGTGGAGTCATACAGAGTTCATCTTTCTCTGTCTGGCTTATTTCACTCAACATAATACCCTCAAGGTCTATCCATGTTGTTATGAATGGGACGACTTTGTCCTTTTTTATGGCTGAGTAGTATTCCATTGTGTATATATACCATATCTTCTTTATCCAGTCATCAGTTGCTGGGCACTTAGGTTGGTCCCATGACTTGGCTATTGTGAATAATGCTGCGATGAACATAGGGGTGCATGGGACTTTTGGAATTGCTGATTTCAGGTTCTTAGGATAGATACTCAGCAGTGGGATGGCTGGCTCTTAAGGTATTTCTATTTTTAACTTTTTGAGGAATCTCCATACTGTTTTCCACAGTGGCTGCACCAGTTTGCATTCCCACCAACAGTGTATGAGGTGAACATGTTTTTATAAAGGAAAAAATTTTGTGATATATCAAAGTCCTGAAACGTGATTTACATAATATACCAAGGATATACCAAGAATATCAACTAAAGAGATTGAGTAGGTCTGCATGTTACATTGATATAATATTTGATACTAAAGGAACCACAACCTCTTTTTGAAAATAATATGAATAAAATTAAAACTGAGTCAGCTTTGACAAAACTTTAACATACTTAATTGCTTCTTTTCAGACATTATTTGCATGTACTATAATCCAAGGCAAATCAAATTCCCTTTCTGCAAACCTTATACAAATTTGTCCATTTAGGTTTTGTCCTTCATTGTCCTCTGTCTTAGTCTGGAACAACCAGTCATTTTACTTTAGTATAAAACTTCTCTTTTTTCTTCTTAATAAACAAAAATACGTCTCATGTGTATACAAAGTCGTACCTCTCTGCCACTATTGTTCCCAATAGAATCTCATTCGTAGATATTAATTATGCCCTTTAACCAAAGTAACTTGTATTTCAGAGAAAATTGGGGGCAGGGAGGGTAGATAATTGTAAATAACCTGTTCTACACAAGCATTTTAGAAGAGCTCACAAATCACATAACACAGCTTTCTACCTCCACAAACAGCATTTACACACTTCTGAAAGTGTGAATCCAACTACTCTGTTCTCCAGCATCTCCCATGTTTCCGACAGATCCAGATTGAAATCCTTTCCCCACTGTGTGCCTTGTGTAGTTAACTTCTCTAAGCCTCAGTTTCCTATCGGTAAAAGTCAGGTGGGTTCTTGAGGATAAATGTGATGTGTGAATATTCTTGACCTCTCGTGGCTGATGGAGGGCACTCAGTAAGTGTCCTTTTACTTCTTTCTTGGTGAGTGTAGATTTGGACTCCTATCAAAGCCTAAATGCTGATGTACTTGCTACTGTAAGTACATTATGTCGAACTCTGAGGCCTATAAAGATGATTAAAACATTGCTCTACCTTCTCAGAACTAAGAATCAAGCTGGAGAGAAGGTGTGTACTCTTATTATCAAACTTACTGCTGCTCCGTGTCCCCAAGGAGGGCATTTAAGCAGAAGTGAAGAAAGCAGACCTAGCTAGACCCTCCTAGAGTAGGATGCTGGGGGGCGGACTGACCCTGAGCTTTGGATCCT